GCACTCAGACCTGTGAAAGAGAACAAAAGAATAACAGTGTTTCTTAGGAGAACCCCAAATCATTTTATCCTTTGGTGTCAGAGGTGGCTCTGCATGTTTGGGTCTGTGATATAGTACCTGTGTTACTTTGTTCTTCAACAGAACCTGAAATGTCCCTTTTTTTATGTGCTTGTTCACCGCCCGGGCACTGCCAAATCCCGCAAAGCTACTCTAGTGCAGTCTCAGACTAAGAAGAGCTGGAAATCATTAGAATGGGCCCCCTTTAATAAAGTACATCTTCCTTTTGTCTTTATCTCTATACTCGCAGGCAATGATGGACCCTTCTGGAAAAGTGTATCGCCGCATCAACATAAATCATTACGCCACTAAGAAGACTGCTGCTCAGAGTATGCTAGACGTTGCCTTACTGATGGCCAACTCATCCCAACTGAAGACTGTTCTCTACGTGGGGCCGCATTACCGTTTCTACATCCCCCTCATCGTCCTGCTGTCTCTGTCCATCACGTTACAGGTCGTAGTGGGGCTGCTGCTCGTCTTTATTGGCAAGTGAAACTTTGCATCTCCCCATTGTTATTAGTCTACTTGCCAGCAATATGAACCCAGAAATGTTGAGTACCCTACATTTTCTGGGGAGTCATTAATATTATTCAATGTACAAAATGAGCTTTTAAACCGGAAGTGGGCTGATTTGGATTATTTTTAGTTGATTTTGAGGTTATTTACATGCTTAATATATTGGATCTGCAATTTAGAATCATGAAAGGTTGATGTCATTGGTGTGAATTTTCAGACGTAATATTTCTCCAAATTTCTTCTTTTTGCTGTGTAGCTTTTTTTGATTGACCTGTGTCTTTGCTGCTGCGGTGTATTAAGCATAACTGTATAAGCATTGTTTAGACAGACAGTTTGTACTTTGAAATTGGGGGTTCTTTTCCTCAATAACTACGCCTATATTGTCCAAATTGTCCAAGCAGTTGCTGAAATATTGTCCATGTAGGTAATTATGCTTATTAATGCTAATTATGCTAATTGCCCAACATAGTCAAGTAAGCATCCGGCTGTTTCTAAATGCTGGGTATCCTTACCCTACATTTCTAACATAAAACATTTGGGGTTCTCAACATTTCCAGGTTCACAAAATGGCTCTGTTGGCTGGCAAACAGATTCTACTGTTCCTCCTTCTCCATCTTTCTTGCATCTTAAATACATACATTTTGATATTGGAATCTTCATGTTTGGAAGGTGCAACAAATAAAAGCAAGTATACAAATAGTTTTACTGATGATTCGATGAATCAAGAGAATTCAATCCAACTTTAGAACTAACTAAAACCCCAAGTGTCTGCCTTTCTGTGTGTCATGCTTTCCTTCCTAGCGTTAGCCGGTTTGCATAACTAATGCATTCAAAGCTGTAAGATGATGAAGTCAGCATAAAAGAATAGTTAGACATTTTGGAAAATATGCTTAATTGCTTTCTTGCTGAGAATTACTTGAGAAGATTGATACTATTGTCATGTTTGTAGGCTAAATACAAAGCTAGAACAAGCAACCAGCTGGCTTAGCTTAGCATAAATGAACTGCACTTTCATGGCACATTTTTTTCCATGTGCCCATAGGTAGAGTCATGTCCAAGGACCCTTTATGAGGACAGGAGGAGCTGGGGATCAAACTGCCAATTCAGTGACTAGTGACTTCAAAGATAACAAAATCTGCCTACCAGCATCTCTAAAGCTCACTGATCAACACATTATTTCTCCTGCATCCAGCAAAAAAACCTCTAAAACTTAAACTTATTGTTTTTTCACTTCAGTTTTTAGGCAAATGAAAAACAAACGAGATATAACATGTTAATTAGTGAGCTTTAGCTTTAGTGTTTGTAGGTGGATTTTGTTACGTTGAGACAGACCTTTGGCTAACTGCTCCCCATTTCCAGTCTTTATGCTAAGTTAAGCTAATAGGCTGTAGTTTTAGTCTTAAACATGAGAGAGGTATCAAGCTTATCATCTCATTCATCAGATGAGAAGATGTGGCTCAGAGGAAGAGTGGGTCGTCCAGACTGTTCCTTTAACTCTTTATTACACTTCAGTTTACCCATACCTCACATATTGCTAATTATTTTTCTTTTGGGTATGGCAAATTCTTAATTCTTATTCATTAGGAGCACTAGGAGGAGCCAGAGGAACCTGATTTTTTCAGATTATTTGACTCATTTACGTCAGGATATAGTGAAAGTTTCAGCAAATATGACAAAATGTCATCTTAATAAAAGTTACCTACTGCAGCTTTAAATTGAAGTTTCAAAGTTTCTATTGTACTTTCCTTCCCCTATGTATGTCTTTCTGCCTCTTTTTCTCATCAACTTTTTATGTATTTTGTTTTTGTGGTTGTGCGATTCTGTGCTGGCAGTAAAGTATGATCTGAACGACGTGAGGAAACACGCCAAGTTGAACAGAATGAACAATGTAGCAACAGTCTTTGTCTTCTTCACCGTCCTCATCAACATCTTCATCACAGCGCTTGGATTTGAAGGACATTCTATCAGGTAGGCCATTACAGAACACATATACAGTTGGCTCTCTGACTGCTGTAAACTCCTCTGACCTGGCTCTTGGTTTTCTTCACAGGTCACTAGCGTCCCCTGTGATTCCTGAGCCTCAGTTTGCACCTCTGCCCACCAACCTGAACATGACTGGTGGCCTTTAGAGCAGTCTCTGGACCAAAATAAGACACTGAGTTGTTATCTCAAAGCATTTAAATTTAAAGGGTTGTGGTTGGACAGCTGCCTTTTTGTAATGTCTATATCAGCTAGAACTATGAGTCATGGGCAAAGATTCACCAGTATCAAACCTTTGATTACTGAAGGACTTTAATGGATCTGCCATCACATTAGTGCTGTGAAGGGTGCCCGGTTAGCTCAGTCGGTAGAGCTGGCGACCCATGTACGGAGTTGCTGCAGCGGCCCAGGGTTTGAAACCGAGCTACGGCCCTTTGCTGCGTGTCATCCCCTCTCTCTACCCACCTTTCCTGTCTATCTTCAGCTGTCTCTATCAAATAAAAGCAATAAAAGACCAAAAGCATAACTTAACAAAAAAAAACAAACTCTAGTGCTGTGAAGCTTTTGTGGATCCAGGCTGAGATCCATCACCCAGTAAACCCCCAACCTCAGTGACCATTGACCACAACCTTCACTCAGGATCACAGCTGATAGATTAAAAACGAGAAACTTCAGTTTGAATACATGACCACTGCCATATCCTCCTTCAGGTACAGGTGACTCCACTGCAGTGGGCTGACCCCTGCAGTGTTGAGCCAATCAGTCACTAAATGCACAGAATTTTCTTTTTTGCTAAACTATTTAAAGCTTCTATCTTGTAAATATAATTGCACTTTTTATTGTTTCTGTTCAAATGTTAGATTGGCGGAATTGTGCTCATTTTGTAACTAAATAAATGAATAAATAACTTATATCAGTGGAGAATTTGACGGTGTTGAGTGTTTGGAAACATGTCTCTTGCCAATTAATATTCAAAGGACCAGTGTGTAGGATTTAGTGGCATCAAGTGGTGAACTTGCAGATTGCAACCAACCGAATACAGCTTGCTCTTAAAGCATGTAGGAGAATCTACAGTAACCTCAAACATTTATTAACACACATAGACAACAGCCTTTGGTTTTTGACTGGACATGATGTGGGGGACAGCTTGGAAATATGAAAGAGTCTCAGTTCATGAATCTGTGGTTCTACATGATGATCTGTTCTCAATAGTTTTTGGACACAATTTAAATTTTCAATTTCAATTTTATTTGTATAGCGCCAATTCATAACAGAAGTTATCTCAGGACACTTTTCAAATAGAGCAGGTCTAGACCGAACTCTTTATAACATTATTTACTGAGACCCAACAGTACCCAAATGGAGCTTAATGAGACAGAGGAAGAAGATGTATCAGGTTTTTGATACATACACAGACTATGATGTGTCTGGTTTTGGTCAATTCTAAAGATTTGGTGACACTAAGAAAGTTTATGGAATGTGGTCAGACTGTGTACTGGAATGATGCACTCTCCACTAATAACATTTATGGATAAGAAATGCCTTCAATGGAATGAAAAATAACCCTGACATCCTAACAACAAATCAGATCACTGAATCCCAAAAGGATCTTCATTGTTAATCACACGGCAGTAGGCATAGTAGAGGACGGCTGCTAACACAGTTAACAGCAGCAGCAGTCGAATCGCTTTCCACATGCTGCCTCCAGCCTTTCTGGCTGGTTCCCTGGATTCTGCTGCGCTGTGATTGGCAGTTTTGTAAGCGACCTGGATAGGGGGGCCTAGACGCACAGGAGGGAAGGTGATATTTAGTCCAGGTGATAAACTCATCACCTGAAAATAAAATGCTTCTGTGTTTGTTCCCTTAGAATGAGCTGTTTTTATCTAAAGACACTGTGGGTCGCCTTCCATGGAGTCCACCAGGCTGAGTCAAGACTTGAGAACCACTGCTGTCCCTTTCTTTCTTAAAAACATGAAAGTGACGTTTTAAAAGTTACTAAATTATGTAAAAGTTTGCAAAAAATATAATGAGATTGATCAGAAAATACTCTAATATAGAGTTGATCCTTCAAAAAAACACATTTTCCAGTAAAAGCTCAAAGTTAACTTGTAATATTATCCAGGATAAATCAGTGTATATCTTCAACAGTTTATGGGCATGTATACATTTCCAGAACAGATGGATAACATCAGAAGGCACAGCCACAGCTTAAATCAATATAATTCTTCAATTGAACAGAGACCTAAGACAGTTTTCTTATTGAAATGTTATGTCAAGTAACATTTCATGATAGTGTCACACAGAGGAGACAGCATTATACATATTTACATTATTCTAAAACTGAAACCTTAAAAACATATTATTTATTCCTAAATAATAGTTAATTCCTAAAGCGCCTATCAACTAGTTTAACACAGTGGGAGGGGTCTTTTGAATGTGTCTGTAGCTGGAGGAGTTGTCTGACTTGTTAGTCCTGTCTACTCCCTCGCTAAAGACTGAAGCTCAGCACATACTGTACACACCAGCAGCAGCAGGACGGTTTGAGTTATCACAGAGGGCAGAATGGACAGGGAGAACAGGCTGAACGGAGAGGGCATGGCTCTGAATAAAGTGGGCGATATAGAGGTTAGTGACACACAAACCCTCTTCCTCTTCTCTTCTGGTCTGTTCTGCTCGGTTCTTTTCTGTTCGTTTCTCATCTGCTCTCTTATCTACGCAAACATCTTCATTGACGGCCTTGAATAGATCAATAGGCAAAACATATTGCATTGTATTGTATAAGTATCCCAGTAGTGTTGGGCGACTGGACGAATATATCGGAGATTGGCCGGCTGTTTTTTGTCATGTTCTAATTGAATGGTCTGCCTCTGAAGAACGAGAACAGAATACACACACTGAGCCGAAGAACGAGTGAGAGGAGATCAATAACAATAATAATAATAATAATAATAATAATACAATAATAAAAAGCTGATAGGATTCAGAAACTAGTGAAAGTACAGATATTACTTTAGAACAGTGGTTCGGGTCCCCCATTTATGTCACCAACGCTTCACGGGGGGTCGTGAGACCTTATTGATTTTAAAGCGTGCTACAACATGTTAAAAATATACAGACCTAGGCTATATCTCACTATATGGTTCATAGATCCTGATAAGAATTTCCAGTTAGAAGTTCTACTTGATTTTGGAACCAATCCTATTGGATAAAGTCCAGTAAGATTTATTACCTACTCAAAAACCTACTTATGAGGATTAAGTCTTATAACAGTCCAAAAGGACCTAATAATTATTATAATTTATAATCCTGTAGGATTATTGGCTTGTTTTATACAAAAAATAAATGTTGCTGTACTTATGTACCTTTAATTTCTAGATGTAGCATTTCTAAAATAAAAAAAATGTAATAAGCATAGATCCACTTAACAAATAAATAATTTTACTTACTTTAATATCTTAAAATCATTACAGAAATTATTACAAATATTAACATTTATCATCCAAAGGATACAACGATTTTAAGCTCCACCTTGACACCTGGGGAGAGTTCAGGAAAGAGTGAGACAGACAGACAGACAGACAGACAGACAGACAGAAGGAGAGATTAATAGGTTTAATACAAGGTACAGTGCAGATCTAGGGACTCTGTCTCTGTATTTATCATATAAGAAATTCAAAGACATATTTATTATGTTATGTTCATGTTAAATCATGATAATTATGTTGTACTTCTGGCTTTGGCAATATAGCTTTAAAACTTTACTGCCAACAAAACCTACAACAAAGTGACCAATGCCTGCTCTCATCTATAGAGCCACGACATTACGTCACTGTACACGTCTCCAATGTTAGTTATTGTTACCAAGGTTAGGCTAGCTGGCTGTATTGCCAGCTCTGTATTTAGCTGTTTTGCACATAGATGTTACAAACGTAACATTGACACAACAACCCTTTGACCTGGTCATTGTAAAACCATACGCAACTGTTAAAGAGGCCATTATATGCATACAACCTTTAGTCCTGTTTCTATCTACACTGTATGTCCAAGTAAACAGTGGGATGTTGAGACTTCACTAAGAAACCAAGGACATGATCATCTCACCACACTATCTGTCTGTTTACTGTCCCACAACTCAGGAATGTGTAACTGTGTTAGAGTGACGCTCCAACAGGGATAAAACCATACTGCTTCTTCCAATCGGGGCTCTTTCGGACTTTCACATACGAGAGTGTGTGACGGTTGCGTTGAGACAGTTCATGGATGACTTGAATAAAACTTTACAGAAAGACAAGATCATACTTTGTATGCTTTCTTAAATTGCCACCACACTAGCTAAAGTAGCATTCAAGTTACAACAATGTTACGAACGAAACATTGATGTAAGAAATAAGTGGCCACGTTTGCTTGGTAATGTTAGCTGATCAACCGGTCGCTAGCTAGCCAGCTAGCTCAATGTTAAGTTTGTATCATCTATGTGCAGAACAGCTATATACAGAGCTATCAGGGCACAAGGTGCCCCCAGCCCATATTGTGAGCAGTTCTTGGTTCTAGACAGCAAAGTGTTGGTGCCGTGCTGGAACGAGTTTTGTCGGGGTCCTGACCCCCAGGTTGGGAACTTCAGAAACCTATCTACAGCAATGTCAGTGGGGCCATGTCCCCGAGTGAAATCAGTGTTTCTTTCCATAGCTGACAGCTGTGTGTAGAGATGAATGAACACTTTGTGACTTAGAGATAGTTGCACGCAGGTGTGACATCACATCTACTTGTGCTACAGGATTGGACAAAGCCCTGAGGGAAAGCCTTTGCCCCTGATGTGGTTTAAACAAACCAGCTTTCTCTCAGTTGTGCAGAAGGAGATAAAGGTATGGACATTGTGACCAGGATGATTTTTCAACCCAGAACAACTGTTATACCTGCCTCTCAGTCACCCACTCTGCACATGTATCAGTTTATGTGATAGGCTGTGAGGTTTCTAGAGTTGTAGAAAGAGAATGGCCCACCACTTGTTGAGTCTTGTTGTGTCTCTCTCTCTCTTGCCAAAGTGAGTCATTGCCTCTTGCTCTGCCACTCCCACTTCTCTTACAGCCACACCTGAGAGTGCATAGTAACAAAATACTAACACTTGTCTGTGAATAAAACATAGTGACGCATGGACTTGTACACATGCACAATCAGAGCACTCAGACCTGTGAAAGAGAACAAAAGAATAACAGTGTTTCTTAGGAGAACCCCAAATCATTTTATCCTTTGGTGTCAGAGGTGGCTCTGCATGTTTGGGTCTGTGATATAGTACCTGTGTTACTTTGTTCTTCAACAGAACCTGAAATGTCCCTTTTTTTTATGTGCTTGTTCACCGCCCGGGCACTGCCAAATCACGCAAAGCTACTCTAGTGCAGTCTCAGACTAAGAAGAGCTGGAAATCATTAGAATGGGCCCCCTTTAATAAAGTACATCTTCCTTTTGTCTTTATCTCTATACTCGCAGGCAATGACGGACCCTTCTGGAAAAGTGTATCGCCGCATCAACATAAATCATTACGCCACTAAGAAGACTGCTGCTCAGAGTATGCTAGACGTTGCCTTACTGATGGCCAACTCATCCCAACTGAAGACCGTTCTCTACGTGGGGCCGCATTACCGTTTCTACATCCCCCTCATCGTCCTGCTGTCTCTGTCCATCACGTTACAGGTCGTAGTGGGGCTGCTGCTCGTCTTTCTTGGCAAGTGAAACGTTTTGCATCTCCCCCATTGTTATTAGTCTACTTGCCAGCAATATGAACCCAGAAATGTTCAATTCAATTCAATTTTAATTCAGTTTTATTTGTATAGCGCCAATTGATAACAGAAGTTATCTCAGGACAATTTTCATATAGAGCAGGTCTAGACCGAACTCTTTATAACATTATTTACAGAGACCCAACAGTTCCACCATGAGCAAGCACTTGGCGACAAGGGCAAGGAAAAATTGCCTGTTAAAAGGCAGAAACCTAGGACAGATCCTTCGGCTCTTGGTGGGTGGTCGTCTGTCTTGACCAGTTGGGGTGAGTGAGAGAGAGACACAGAGAGAGAGACAGACAGACAGACAGACAGACAGACAGACAGACAGGTGCACAGCAACGACAGTAGCAACAACTACACTAATAGTAGTGACTGATGATGATGAACATGACAACAGCAACGATGGGGGACAATGAGCAGTGACAACAGCAACAACAGTAACCATAGCTATAATAATACTTATAATAATAATAACACTAATATCAGTGATATTGGCAATGGCAGTCAAGCAGGACCATGGCAGGAGGCTCCACCAGGATCCATGAGAACCTGCGAGACGAGAAAGCACAAGAACTCCGGGGAAGAAGTGAAGTTAGTAACATGCATTAATGGAACATGAATGAGTGCAGAAAGAGAGAGGAAGAGAGGAGCTCAGTGCACCATGGGAAATCCCCCGATAGTCTAGGCCTATAGCAGCATAACTAAGGGATGGTTCAGGACTCACCTGATCCAGCCCTAACTATAAGCTTTATCAAAGAGGAATGTCTTAAGCCTACTCTTGAATGTGGAGAGGGTGTCTGCCTCCCGAACCACAACTGGAAGCTGGTTCCACAGGAGAGGAGCTTGGTAACTGAAGGCTCTGGCTCCTGTTCTACTTTTAGAGACTATAGGAACCACAAGTAGCCCAGCATTCAGAGAACGTAGTGTTCTAGAGGGGTAATAGGGTACTATGAGCTCTTTAAGATATGAAGGGGCCTGACCATGAAGAGCTTTATAGGTGAGGAGGAGGATTTTAAATTCAATTCTACATTTTACAGGGAGCCAATGCAGAGAAGCTAGTACAGGAGAGATGTGATCTCTTTTTCTAGTTCCTGTCAGTACTCGTGCTGCAGCGTTCTGAATTAATTGAAGCGTTTTAATGGACTTATTGGGGCAGCCTGATAATAAAGAGTTGCAGTAATCCAGCCTAGAAGTAACAAATGCATGGATTAGTTTTTCTGTATCTGTCTGTGATAGGATGTGTCTAATTTTTGTAATATTACGTAAATGAAAGAAGGCAGTCCTAGAGGTCTGCTTTATGTGGGAGTTAAATGACAAATCCTGATCAAAGATAACTCCAAGATTCCTGACAGTGGTGCCAAGTACAAGAATATCGTTTTTTTCTGAGTTTAACATCAGAAAATTGCAGCTCAGGATTTTATGTCCTTAAGACATGTTTGTAATTTAGATAATTGATTAATTTCATCGGGCTTGATCGATAGATATATCTGCGCATCATCTGCATAAAAGTGAAAGTTAATGGAGTGATTCCTAATAATGTTGCCTAAAAAATTAATCAAGAGAATTCAATCCAACTTTAGAACTAACTAAAGCCCCAAGTGTCTGCCTTCCTGTGTGTCATGCTTTCCTTCCTAGCGTTAGCTGGTTTGCATAACTAATGCATTCAAAGCTGTAAGATGATGAAGTCAGCATAAAAGAATAGTTAGACATTTTGGAAAATATGCTTAATTGCTTTCTTGCTGAGAATTACTTGAGAAGATTGATACTATTGTCATGTTTGTAGGCTAAATACAAAGCTAGAACAAGCAACCAGCTGGCTTAGCTTAGCATAAATGAACTGCACTTTCATGGCACATTTTTTTCCATGTGCCCATAGGTAGAGTCATGTCCAAGGACCCTTTATGAGGACAGGAGGAGCTGGGGATCAAACTGCCAATTCAGTGACTAGTGACTTCAAAGATAACAAAATCTGCCTACCAGCACCTCTAAAGCTCACTGATCAACACATTATTTCTCATGCATCCAGCAAAAAAACCTCTAAAACTTAAACTTATTGTTTTTTCACTTCAGTTTTTAGGCAAATGAAAAACAAACGAGATATAACATGTTAATTAGTGAGCTTTAGCTTTAGTGTTTGTAGGTGGATTTTGTTACGTTGAGACAGACCTTTGGCTAACTGCTCCCCATTTCCAGTCTTTATGCTAAGTTAAGCTAATAGGCTGTAGTTTTAGTCTTAAACATGAGAGAGGTATCAAGCTTATCATCTCATTCATCAGATGAGAAGATGTGGCTCAGAGGAAGAGTGGGTCGTCCAGACTGTTCCTTTAACTCTTTATTACACTTCAGTTTACCCATACCTCACATATTGCTAATTATTTTTCTTTTGGGTATGGCAAATTCTTAATTCTTATTCATTAGGAGCACTAGGAGGAGCCAGAGGAACCTGATTTTTTCAGATTATTTGACTCATTTACGTCAGGATATAGTGAAAGTTTCAGCAAATATGACAAAATGTCATCTTAATAAAAGTTACCTACTGCAGCTTTAAATTGAAGTTTCAAAGTTTCTATTGTACTTTCCTTCCCCTATGTATGTCTTTCTGCCTCTTTTTCTCATCAACTTTTTATGTATTTTGTTTTTGTGGTTGTGCGATTCTGTGCTGGCAGTAAAGTATGATCTGAACGACGTGAGGAAACACGCCAAGTTGAACAGAATGAACAATGTAGCAACAGTCTTTGTCTTCTTCACCGTCCTCATCAACATCTTCATCACAGCGCTTGGATTTGAAGGACATTCTATCAGGTAGGCCATTACAGAACACATATACAGTTGGCTCTCTGACTGCTGTAAACTCCTCTGACCTGGCTCTTGGTTTTCTTCACAGGTCACTAGCGTCCCCTGTGATTCCTGAGCCTCAGTTTGCACCTCTGCCCACCAACCTGAACATGACTGGTGGCCTTTAGAGCAGTCTCTGGACCAAAATAAGACACTGAGTTGTTATCTCAAAGCATTTAAATTTAAAGGGTTGTGGTTGGACAGCTGCCTTTTTGTAATGTCTATATCAGCTAGAACTATGAGTCATGGGCAAAGATTCACCAGTATCAAACCTTTGATTACTGAAGGACTTTAATGGATCTGCCATCACATTAGTGCTGTGAAGGGTGCCCGGTTAGCTCAGTCGGTAGAGCTGGCGACCCATGTACGGAGTTGCTGCAGCGGCCCAGGGTTTGAAACCGAGCTACGGCCCTTTGCTGCGTGTCATCCCCTCTCTCTACCCACCTTTCCTGTCTATCTTCAGCTGTCTCTATCAAATAAAAGCAATAAAAGACCAAAAGCATAACTTAACAAAAAAAAAACAAACTCTAGTGCTGTGAAGCTTTTGTGGATCCAGGCTGAGATCCATCACCCAGTAAACCCCCAACCTCAGTGACCATTGACCACAACCTTCACTCAGGATCACAGCTGATAGATTAAAAACGAGAAACTTCAGTTTGAATACATGACCACTGCCATATCCTCCTTCAGGTACAGGTGACTCCACTGCAGTGGGCTGACCCCTGCAGTGTTGAGCCAATCAGTCACTAAATGCACAGAATTTTCTTTTTTTGCTAAACTATTTAAAGCTTCTATCTTGTAAATATAATTGCACTTTTTATTGTTTCTGTTCAAATGTTAGATTGGCGGAATTGTGCTCATTTTGTAACTAAATAAATGAATAAATAACTTATATCAGTGGAGAATTTGACGGTGTTGAGTGTTTGGAAACATGTCTCTTGCCAATTAATATTCAAAGGACCAGTGTGTAGGATTTAGTGGCATCAAGTGGTGAACTTGCAGATTGCAACCAACCGAATACAGCTTGCTCTTAAAGCATGTAGGAGAATCTACAGTAACCTCAAACATTTATTAACACACATAGACAACAGCCTTTGGTTTTTGACTGGACATGATGTGGGGGACAGCTTGGAAATATGAAAGAGTCTCAGTTCATGAATCTGTGGTCCTACATGATGATCTGTTCTCAATAGTTTTTGGACACAATTTAAATTTTCAATTTCAATTTTATTTGTATAGCGCCAATTCATAACAGAAGTTATCTCAGGACACTTTTCAAATAGAGCAGGTCTAGACCGAACTCTTTATAACATTATTTACTGAGACCCAACAGTACCCAAATGGAGCTTAATGAGACAGAGGAAGAAGATGTATCAGGTTTTTGATACATACACAGACTATGATGTGTCTGGTTTTGGTCAATTCTAAAGATTTGGTGACACTAAGAAAGTTTATGGAATGTGGTCAGACTGTGTACTGGAATGATGCACTCTCCACTAATAACATTTATGGATAAGAAATGCCTTCAATGGAATGAAAAATAACCCTGACATCCTAACAACAAATCAGATCACTGAATCCCAAAAGGATCTTCATTGTTAATCACACGGCAGTAGGCATAGTAGAGGACGGCTGCTAACACAGTTAACAGCAGCAGCAGTCGAATCGCTTTCCACATGCTGCCTCCAGCCTTTCTGGCTGGTTCCCTGGATTCTGCTGCGCTGTGATTGGCAGTTTTGTAAGCGACCTGGATAGGGGGCCTAGACGCACAGGAGGGAAGGTGATATTTAGTCCAGGTGATAAACTCATCACCTGAAAATAAAATGCTTCTGTGTTTGTTCCCTTAGAATGAGCTGTTTTTATCTAAAGACACTGTGGGTCGCCTTCCATGGAGTCCACCAGGCTGAGTCAAGACTTGAGAACCACTGCTGTCCCTTTCTTTCTTAAAAACATGAAAGTGACGTTTTAAAAGTTACTAAATTATGTAAAAGTTTGCAAAAAAATATAATGAGATTGATCAGAAAATACTCTAATATAGAGTTGATCCTTCAAAAAAACACATTTTCCAGTAAAAGCTCAAAGTTAACTTGTAATATTATCCAGGATAAATCAGTGTATATCTTCAACAGTTTATGGGCATGTATACATTTCCAGAACAGATGGATAACATCAGAAGGCACAGCCACAGCTTAAATCAATATAATTCTTCAATTGAACAGAGACCTAAGACAGTTTTCTTATTGAAATGTTATGTCAAGTAACATTTCATGATAGTGTCACACAGAGGAGACAGCATTATACATATTTACATTATTCTAAAACTGAAACCTTAAAAACATATTATTTATTCCTAAATAATAGTTAATTCCTAAAGCGCCTATCAACTAGTTTAACACAGTGGGAGGGGTCTTTTGAATGTGTCTGTAGCTGGAGGAGTTGTCTGACTTGTTAGTCCTGTCTACTCCCTCGCTAAAGACTGAAGCTCAGCACATACTGTACACACCAGCAGCAGCAGGACGGTTTGAGTTATCACAGAGGGCAGAATGGACAGGGAGAACAGGCTGAACGGAGAGGGCATGGCTCTGAATAAAGTGGGCGATATAGAGGTTAGTGACACACAAACCCTCTTCCTCTTCTCTTCTGGTCTGTTCTGCTCGGTTCTTTTCTGTTCGTTTCTCATCTGCTCTCTTATCTACGCAAACATCTTCATTGACGGCCTTGAATAGATCAATAGGCAAAACATATTGCATTGTATTGTATAAGTATCCCAGTAGTGTTGGGCGACTGGACGAATATATCGGAGATTGGCCGGCTGTTTTTTGTCATGTTCTAATTGAATGGTCTGCCTCTGAAGAACGAGAACAGAATACACACACTGAGCCGAAGAACGAGTGAGAGGAGATCAATAACAATAATAATAATAATAATAATAATAATACAATAATAAAAAGCTGATAGGATTCAGAAACTAGTGAAAGTACAGATATTACTTTAGAACAGTGGTTCGGGTCCCCCATTTATGTCACCAACGCTTCACGGGGGGTCGTGAGACCTTATTGATTTTAAAGCGTGCTACAACATGTTAAAAATATACAGACCTAGGCTATATCTCACTATATGGTTCATAGATCCTGATAAGAATTTCCAGTTAGAAGTTCTACTTGATTTTGGAACCAATCCTATTGGATAAAGTCCAGTAAGATTTATTACCTACTCAAAAACCTACTTATGAGGATTAAGTCTTATAACAGTCCAAAAGGACCTAATAATTATTATAATTTATAATCCTGTAGGATTATTGGCTTGTTTTATACAAAAAATAAATGTTGCTGTACTTATGTACCTTTAATTTCTAGATGTAGCATTTCTAAAATAAAAAAAATGTAATAAGCATAGATCCACTTAACAAATAAATAATTTTACTTACTTTAATATCTTAAAATCATTACAGAAATTATTACAAATATTAACATTTATCATCCAAAGGATACAACGATTTTAAGCTCCACCTTGACACCTGGGGAGAGTTCAGGAAAGAGTGAGACAGACAGACAGACAGACAGACAGAAGGAGAGATTAATAGGTTTAATACAAGGTACAGTGCAGATCTAGGGACTCTGTCTCTGTATTTATCATATAAGAAATTCAAAGACATATTTATTATGTTATGTTCATGTTAAATCATGATAATTATGTTGTACTTCTGGCTTTGGCAATATAGCTTTAAAACTTTACTGCCAACAAAACCTACAACAAAGTGACCAATGCCTGCTCTCATCTATAGAGCCACGACATTACGTCACTGTACACGTCTCCAATGTTAGTTATTGTTACCAAGGTTAGGCTAGCTGGCTGTATTGCCAGCTCTGTATTTAGCTGTTTTGCACATAGATGTTACAAACGTAACATTGACACAACAACCCTTTGACCTGGTCATTGTAAAACCATACGCAACTGTTAAAGAGGCCATTATATGCATACAACCTTTAGTCCTGTTTCTATCTACACTGTATGTCCAAGTAAACAGTGGGATGTTGAGACTTCACTAAGAAACCAAGGACATGATCATCTCACCACACTATCTGTCTGTTTACTGTCCCACAACTCAGGAATGTGTAACTGTGTTAGAGTGACGCTCCAACAGGGATAAAACCATACTGCTTCTTCCAATCGGGGCTCTTTCGGACTTTCACATACGAGAGTGTGTGACGGTTGCGTTTGAGACAGTTCATGGATGACTTGAATAAAACTTTACAGAAAGACAAGATCATACTTTGTATGCTTTCTTAAATTGCCACCACACTAGCTAAAGTAGCATTCAAGTTACAACAATGTTACGAACGAAACATTGATGTAAGAAATAAGTGGCCACGTTTGCTTGGTAATGTTAGCTGATCAACCGGTCGCTAGCTAGCCAGCTAGCTCAATGTTAAGTTTGTATCATCTATGTGCAGAACAGCTATATACAGAGCTATCAGGGCACAAGGTGCCCCCAGCCCATATTGTGAGCAGTTCTTGGTTCTAGACAGCAAAGTGTTGGTGCCGTGCTGGAACGAGTTTTGTCGGGGTCCTGACCCCCAGGTTGGGAACTTCAGAAACCTATCTACAGCAATGTCAGTGGGGCCATGTCCCCGAGTGAAATCAGTGTTTCTTTCCATAGCTGACAGCTGTGTGTAGAGATGAATGAACACTTTGTGACTTAGAGATAGTTGCACGCAGGTGTGACATCACATCTACTTGTGCTACAGGATTGGACAAAGCCCTGAGGGAAAGCCTTTGCCCCTGATGTGGTTTAAACAAACCAGCTTTCTCTCAGTTGTGCAGAAGGAGATAAAGGTATGGACATTGTGACCAGGATGATTTTTCAACCCAGAACAACTGTTATACCTGCCTCTCAGTCACCCACTCTGCACATGTATCAGTTTATGTGATAGGCTGTGAGGTTTCTAGAGTTGTAGAAAGAGAAT